TGGGGAGGAAACAGGAGCTCACCCTGTTTAACGCGAAGGCTGGACTCGAACCACTGAAGCGACCATTTCTGGCCGGCAACTTTCAGCGTCATTAAGCCGCTGCGCCACCGTGTCCCCTTACTTGCCTTAGTGCTAGTTTACATATCATCTGAATTTGGGTTAAAGGGATGGGTGGCTTTTAATCTGGGCTAAACCTCCGAATATAGAGAGGGGAGGAAGGAGTGGCCTTGAAACAGGGTTGCGGCAGTCATGGATGCTCCATTCCTCTTCCTCTGTGAACATAAAGAAGGAAAATAATCAGGTGAGGCTGTTTTCTTCCTCTTTGAGTACTGGCTCTAATCCTGATCAGGCTGTTGGATTTCTAATTCTTTTTAATGAGAAGTATCAAAAAAAATCCAGGAAGTGTTGGCTGACCCAAAGATCCAAAAATATGTGGTTAGTCAAATGTGACCGACTGTGGTTTGCTTGCGTTTGCTGGTCTGGTCTGGTCTGGTCTCTTAATCACTGGTCTCTTAAGGGATAGCTTAGGCTATCACTTAAATATGTTGTAGAGTGATTCCGGATCCTTGTCAAACTATAATATTGTTTGGTTGGTTTTGATGTTACATTGTGTGAATTCAGCCATCAACCATGGTTAAATAGAACATGGTTCAGCACAATGCATGAGCCCAATCTGTCTGTCTGGAAGTAGAGCAATTGAAAGGATTAGAACAATGTTTTTCAAAGTTGGCAACCTTAAGATGTGTGGAGTTCAACTCCCAGAATTCCCCAGCCAGCATGCTGGCTGGGGAATTCTGAGAGTTGAACTCCACACATGAAGTTTTGAACTCCACACATCTTAAGGTTACCAACTTTGAAAAACACTGGATTATAAGGAAAGATCCCACACGTGCCTGGAGTAGCTCCTGTTACAGAAACTTTGAAATTTTATGCAAAGAATTAACCAGGAGACACTAAACACAGTTATTGGGTGGAAATATCACTTTCCCAAATATATTTGCCTTTCTTTTTTTGATACAAGTCTTACAAAACCAAAACTCTGTACAGCAGTTTAAAAGGAAACCATTAAAATAGGCTTACTCATACACACCTATGTATAAATACAAGCAGTGGTTGAAAACTTGCACTACAACTTTATTCACTCACTTTCCCCATCCACACCTCAAGAAAATACCAAGAGAGTCACTTGGCTGTGTACTACCGTTCCCGCCTTCTCCAGAAGGCAAGATTTCTTGCAGCGGTTTCCTTTTTCACAGATAAATACGTATGCCTTCGCTTAGCTGAACGCTATAACCCTGTTACGTACAAACAGACTCTTAGCGGTGACTTAGCAGTTCTGCTAGGCCTTTATTGTGAAATGTCCTCAAATTGTCCACAGCGGTTCTAAAAGCTGTTTAGGTGGCTGAAGCATATCTACCGCACAAATACCTTGCCTTTCTGCTAGATCTCGGTGGCTTCTCAGGAACTGAACACTGGCAGACTAAACAGCATGGTGGATTTCTCCAGGAGATCCCACTTGAGAGTACAGGTTGTCCTTGCTTAGCGACCACAATTAGGACCAGCAACTCTGTTGCTAAGCGCCACGATTGCTAAGTGAAACATCACATGACTGCAAGACTTACAACCTCACTTCCGCTGTGGTGGTTAAGCAAATCAGCGCAGTTGTTAAGCGAAACATCAGGTGACCGTGACTTCCGATTTTACTGCCGCCTTCTGCACTGACTCTGCTTTTGGCAAGCCAGTTGCAAAGCACACAAATGGTGATCACGTGACTGGGGGATGCTGCAGCAGTCATAAATGCCCGCTGGTTGCAAAGTGCCTGAATGTCGATCACGCGACCACAGGGACACCTGCGCAGGTTGTAAGTGTGAGGAATGGTCATAAAGTTACTTTTTTCAGCGCCATTGTAACTGAACATCGCTAAATGAGGCAGTCAGTAAGCATGGTCTACCTGTATAACCCTCATAACATACAGCCCAGACGTTCACCTGGCTATACTGGCACTTTCTTTCATACAGCTGTGCAATAAGCATATTGCCCTCTCCCCCTCCCCCCCTTTTCCTGATAGGATTGCTCCACATCAGCAACCCAAACCTGGTCCTAAGACCTCAGTAGGATTTGCACATGTGGATTGCAGCCTTCAAGTAATCTGTCATCCAGCAAAGCTCATAACTGAGCATTTTTTCTGTACCCTGATTTTTAAAATAGCATCCTGAAGTGGTTTTACTTAAAAACAAATATAATCTGCTAATGTTTAAACAAACACATCTGAAGACGTAGGATCAAAATGGGTGTATTGTTTCCTGAAAGGGATGGAACCTCAGGAATGGGAGGGAGTGCAAAGTGACTGTATCTGTGGCTGTTCTTTTAAAATAGCATTCCTCAACCTGGTGCCCCTTGTTCAGTAGGACTACACATGAAGAAAGATGGGAGCTGAGATCCAAAATTTCAGAAGGGCATTAGGTTAGAGAAAGGTGTTTTAAGAAAGTTTTGATGTTGCAGAGGTCTTTCCAGTGTCTGTGGGCCTTAATGTCTCTCCTCACATAGCCTCCTCCCTGCCTCTTCCCACAGAGTCCCCAGATGTCATTTTGGTATTACAAAGAATTTAAAAGCAGGCTGTTAAAAAAATAAGGAGCCCGGAAAGCCAGAAGGACTTCAAAGGATGACTCTGTGAAAGCAGTTGAGGGCCATCTCTTCAATGTCAGTCTCTACACTTAAAGGACTCACGGCTTCCCTCAACTGATCACGGCATAATTTTCTCTGTTACGCCAGGAAGCTGAAAACACATTCTTAGTTGAACAGCGAGTGTGAGAAAAGCAAGTTGTTGGACTGGTTGGTGTTGAGGTCTGCCAGAGGACTTTCAACCTGCCTGTTGCTGTTCTCCTCATCTCCACTCCTGAAGACAGCATCTCCTTCTGCCTCCCAGCAACCTTCTGCTGGGCTTAGGTGATGTTGGGGTGAAGCATCCTCAGGATCTGACTGTTCCACGCTGTGTCTCTGCCTCAGGACCGCTTCCTCGGTGGCTTCCTCACCAGATGGACTCTCCTCTTCACCACTGGTCTCACTGCCTCCTGGACCTGAGCTGGCCCGTGGGACTCCTTCAATGGCTGCATCTGTGACATCTTCTGGATCAGAATCCGAATCGATAAAGGGAGTGTCGGGTTCTAGGAAGAAAAGAAAATGAACCCCATTGAGCCAAGGGTGGGCTGTCCAAGGGCTGCTTGTGGCACAAATTTAGAGCATTCATGAATTGTGATGCCAAAATTTGGCACCAAGAGCATCCATTTTTAGCCCTGCAATTTCTGCCTCTTCACTCAGACTAGTACAAAACAAGTCTTGTAAGAACATCACCCTTACAAGAATAGCATTGATTGTTCTATGTCAAACTTTAAAATGTGAGATTTCATCTCACCTCTGTATGAATCTTCATGAAGAGCGGCTTCTGTCTGCTCAGAGGTTGCCTCAAGGTACTGGACTTCACTGTGGGGTTGTGTTCCTTCATCCTCCTGGACACATGGAATTCAAGGCATTAGTGAGATTAGCTCTGTAAGGTAGGAAGACATTGATCAAAAGATCATCAATGGCAATCACGGCCTCTCCATCAGGTTCCACTCACCTGGTTCCTGACCAACTCCTCATCTTCCCTGGCCGTTTCATCTGAGCCTTCTGGAAATACGTCATTGGATTCAAAGATAGCAGCATAGAAATCTATGAGTGCCTCAACAATGCATGCCTGATGGGGGTAATCAACCAGGGAAGAGAGGGAGACGGTAGCCTGGGTGGGCCGGGGGCGCATTAAGGTGGGGCCAAAGACGATTCCCAGGTTGCCAGAAGACATTTTATTGTCATCTTCAAGTTCTATAATCCTAGAAAAGAATTGGACAAAGAGATGTATGCAGGACTTAACTGTGAGGTCCTCTGCCTGATTTTAGACATCAAGGCTTTTAAATTTTATGCAGACAGCTGCTTTATATCATGCAGAATGAAGTTCAAACCAGCCTTGGGCATGAGAAAGAGTTGAAATGCAAACAAATTTAGCAGTGCAAACACAGTGGAGAAGGTTGAGCTAACTAATATTTATCCAACAGAGTGAACATCTTAGTGGCTGGATTCATAAATTGAGCAACCATGGTTTACTTAACTATGGTTTGTTAAGTAAGGCATAGTAGCTGAATTCAACATCATGCTAAACCTGAAATTCTGGGATTCCCAGTAAATCACCATTATATCCTAGACACCACTCTTGACAGCGGTGCAAGTTCCACATCCCACTTCAGGAGAATCTGCAGGGGATGAAAAAAGTCTCTGTGGCAGCCAGGACGTGGCACATGTGAGGGTTGCCATCTTGCCATTTTTGACTCAGGACCCTCCCTGCTCACATGCCCCTGCCTTAGTTTGCAGCATGCTGGATGGAAAATAAATCAGATTCTATTATAGTTCTTCTTTACAAGGACTATATAGCCATGTAAAGAATACACATAGCCCAAATGCATGCTTACAAAATACAAACACCAGGGTGGAAACCCCAACTCCACCAAAACTGGCAGGGCAAGCTACTGTATATAAACAGGCAGAAAACCCACACTTCCTCGCACTGATGATGTTATCTAGCTGGGTAATGAAATGTCTGCAGGAAAACAACCAGGCTCAGAGAGTGCCAAGGACTCCCCAGTTCAACCCTGAGCTACAGATAGCTTCTATGCAAAATACACACGACTAGGAGGAAAGGGACAGAAAACCATTGTTTTGCTTGGACACACGTCACCTGGTAAAAAGTGGCTACCGGGCATTTCAATGAGGAAAACCATTCTGTGAAAATGCCCATGATAGGCTCACCAAATTCCAAAGGTGCTGACTGACCGCCCAAGTTGGAATTTCTGTTATTAATCCTGGGTCACCCACCTGCCTAGCTTGGTTCCCGCAATATCCTAAGCCAAAACTAAACCAATCATGAGATGCTCAGCGCAATCGTCGCTAGGTCAGCTAAGCAGAAGAGAAGCCAAAGGCCACTTTGCTTCTCTTTTTTCCATCTCTCAGAGTCGAGGTCCACCTAGAGATTGACCAAGTCCTCACTACAGGAGAGAGGAGACGCAGCCTCCTGTTCCAGGTACAAGGGAACAGCAGCTGCCTGCAATTCGTTCCCTGACCACATTTGGACCACAAGGTGCCAGGTGAAGCAACTGACCTCTTCAGGTGCTGCATGATACACTTCAGGGTGGCAAAGTTCTTGGGTGGAAGATCTTTTAGCAGCTCTTTCAGCTTCGTTACCACGACTTTCTCCATCTCGCTGCTTCGGTCCACCGGCTCACCAGTGCTTCTCCCTGCCCTGCTGTCAGACCTACCCTGCAAGGTCTCCTTGGCCAACCCCATAAGGCTGTTGTACATCCGGAAGGGCATGATTGGTTCTGGGAGCTGAAAGGAGTAAGAATCACAGGAAAGTAGTATCTAGTAATCAAGTGGCATGCGGGCCTACTTACAAACCAATACCCAAGAACGTGGATCCTTATCCTACTGGATCAAACCACTTCATCCTTCCCAGGTGTATTTAGGAAGCCCATAGGCTGAATTTGAAAGCTTGATGCTGCTCTGAATTTGGGAGATCCACCCAAGCTAATGCCCATAGATCTGCTCTGCAAATTATCTCACCCTCTTTTAAAGGGTGCCATGGTGGCAACTTATGGCAGTGAATTTCATAGGTTTACTCATAGATTTGGAAAGAAAAATCAGGAGGAGTTGGGTAGCACCTTTTCCAACTAAAACATTTTATTAAAAGGTATCAGCTTCCATGAGCAGCAGCCGAGTTCATCAAATGTATTGAGTGGTCTAGGACCTTGGTGACTTGAAGATGGGTAGACTTCAACTCCCAGAATTCCCTGGGAATTCTGCGAGTTGAAGTCTACCCATCTTCAAGTCGCCAAGGTTGAGAAATCCTGAGCTAGACTGATGCAGGATTTAACTTGGGTGAGGGAAAAGTGGAGAAGAAATATATTTATATATTGGAGCCTGTCACCCAATCTCTGTGAATCCATTTCATTGGATTAATCTCAGTGAACGGAAAGGAAGGCAGAAATAATTCCATCCGTATTTTCCACACCATTAATAACTGCATTTCTACGTTAGCAGGATGCTTGCTTCCTCCTGCTCCTCGGCCCCTGGTGCTAAAAAGCCACCAGGCTTTCGACGGTAAGGAAGACGCTCCACCTTCTGGCCCAAAGATCACGGGCACCCTGGGCTGCCTCACCTGACGAAGGTAGAGCTTCAGCACGTTGCTGATATCGTGTGGTGAGGCCTGAGACAACTCGACCAGCTCTTTCCCATTCTCAAAGGACTGACAGAGCTTCTCCACGCGGGACTTCACCCCATTGACGCGATAGATGCCCTACGGAAGAGAGAAAGGAGCATCGATTGGCGAAAGAGGGCTACCATCTTGACTTTTTTGACACTAGACCCTTCCCCCAGATGTCCTTCTTTCAGGGGTGCCTGCAAGGTATGGTTAAAAAAAAGACAGCAATCCCAACAGCGTGAATGAAGCCCTGCCTGCTTTTTATGGGCGTCCCACGTGCATAAAAAACAGGCAGAGCTTCAATCGCACCACGGCTGTCGCCTTGGAAAAAAGACTACAACCGTGCCCTGCTTTTATAACAGAAGCGTGCAACCATTTTACGAGCCTATGGGTTGCAGGCCAAAAGTGGATAAGGGCAGAGCAAAAAATAACTTTGCCTCCCTTTCTGTTTAATTAAATGGCCCATAGAATTACTTCCCGCGGGTTCTTCCCTTCTATCACATGAAAGATCCCAGTTCAAGCACAACTTGATTTTATTCCCTTTGGCACATCTTCAAGCTGCCAAGGCTGAGCAACACTGAGGCAGAATAATGTTCTCCCCTATATCTGATTTCTTTTATGCAGAGCAGATGTTCCACCACTTACTTTGGTTTTCATGGCCCGCCTTTCGATCTCACTGATGCACTTCTGGACGATGAAGGGGACGCCGTCGGAGCTGGTGTGGGAAGCCTGTGCAAAGTCCCGCCCAAAGAGCTGCAGCTTGCCTTGAAGTTTCTTGTGGCCGCACTGAATGGCCAGAGTCTCCAGGCATTTCTTGTGACAGGCTAAGTAACACTGGCAAAGAGGGGGCAGAGAGCGTGGAGGTGAAACAGCCATGCTGCGAGGGAGATGGTGCAGTTCCAGAAGGCGCCACTGGAGGGCAACATGTCATCAAGAAGCCCTTTGTAAGGTCGCTTTCCAGCAGTGTTCTCAACCTTGTCAACTTTGAGATGCGTGGACTTCAACTCCCAGAATTCCCCAGCCAGCTGCTGGGGAATTCTGGGAATTGAAGTCCACACATTTCAAAGTTGACAAGGTTGACAAATGTTGTTCCAGCAGCTTTTCTGGTGACTTCATGGGGCTCATCCTCATGCTCCACTAACTAGGGCATGAAGATGCCTTGGTAACTACATTCTCGTGTATACAGCCTCATGACAGTGCCCTAATTTCATTTCAAGCCAGCCACACAGGCAGCTGAAATCCATCCTTCGTTATTCCAGAGGTCATGCCTTCCCTCTTCTCCCTACACAAAACTCGCTGGATGAACACTCCACAGCACTTCATTGAGAGGGTCACTGAGGATACGATCGAGGGTTGGGATCTGCCAAGCTGCCATTAGCTACTCTGAACTGTTGAAAGCTGTCCACCTCCTTCTCCCTCTGCTTGCTGACCCCAGCTGTTTATGGCCATTTGGGCTTGGGCTGATGGAGAGTCAGGGCACCTGGTTCTGTGGAGGGGCCTGACCTGTATTTTCCAGTGGGTCGCTCAGGTGTCCCTTGGCTCCTGATAAACACCAGTTTGCCACTCTTGAAAGAATGGTAGACCTGTCTTTAAAAAATAGGACAAGTGCTCTCGCCAATAGTCTTTTCTTTTGGGGGGGGGGGTTCTATGTGGGTGTCTTTGATCCCCCCCACTTCATCTTCAGACTGGCTGGGGAAGGCTGCAGACAACATTGGTTGCTACAAATCTCAAGAGTCTCCCTCTCTCCTTTCATCCAGGACTTGGCAAAAAGTCCATGGTGAACTTTGACCAGAGAAGTGATGAAACTGATCAGTCCGCTGTTGCTTTGAAGAGGATTTTTTTCTTTTTGGATGCCAATTAAGTCCAGTTCCACAGGCAAATCACTTTCAAAGCTGTTTGAATCACAGAACGCTGACTTTTTCTTTAAAACATATAACTCCCCCAAAGCTCTCCTCCTGACTCCAGGGTATTACTCTGAAATCTAGACTAGAATCATGCAAAGTGCCTTTAAGTGCTGCAATACTGGAATTGGGCAGTGCCTCTGTTTTAAGTTTTCGATTTGGAATCAAGCAAATTTTCACTGATGGGTGGGAAAAGGGTCTCTCTCTCTCTCTCTCTCTTTCTCTCTCTCTTTCTCTCTCACACACACACACACACTCACACAAGAATGAGACAGAAACCAACACTATGGCTGAGACTGAAAATTCACCTTTTTCTGTCCAATGCAGTTTTCTTCTAAATCTGTCCCATTTTGTACCAAGGAGCTTCCTTTTCAAGGTGTCATTTTTATTACTGATTTACCTCTCCCAAACAGCTGATAGGCAAGGGGGGGGGCATTCCTCACTGCAGTGGGAGAACTCTTCATTCCACCTTGCAACCCCCCTCCCCATCAGGAGTTTTTTGTGGGCTCCTTCTAAACGTGGGCATAGCGCTGTTCCAGAAGAGCATTACAGAAGAACATTTTTTGCAGAATAGCGTTGTTCTGGGAGAGCACGATTTCCAGAATAATGCTATTCTGGAATCACACCAAACCCGTACCAAGCATGCGCAGAGCAAGAGTGATTTTTGATTGCAGTCAAAGCTCACCTCGTCCACAGCCCTGTCCCACTTTAGAAAAAGCAATTCTGGATGCTTTTCCCATTATCCTGTGATGCCTGGGGGGAAGGGAAACTACAAAACCAAGACCACCAACTAACAAATACATTATTTAAGCAAAAATAAATAAATACTTCCTTAACTTGTCCCACTTTCAGACTATAAGGACAGCCCCTATCTCCTGCCTCTTTATACTACGATTTTTTATTTTTATTTTTTGCCAGCTCAAGGACTGAAGGAATGTGTGGTAACACAGCTGTGGGAAAGAACCCATAGATGCATCTAGGCAGTTTTCAGTTTTTGTGGTTTGACACTTCTTTCATCTGGGATATTTTCCAACTTCCCAGTCTAACCTATAAAACAGGGTCTCCTGGTGGTCTCCTCTCCAGATCTGACCCTGCTTAATTTTTCAGGATGAGCCAAGGCCAGTCAGAGCTGCCACTTATTAGAACTACAACAAAAGTTGCCAGGCTAGTTGGTCACCCAACTCAGGGTAGTTTACTTCAGCCTCTTTCATGCTGGAGGGTCAATCAATCAATCAGTCAGTTTATTACAGTCATAGACCAGTACAACTAAAAATGCACATAA